GAGCTAACCTGCCCTTCCACCCCCATCAACCCCTAACCCCCTCTTCTCGCCCCTCGTGGCTCCTATCAGGCTGGCTGCAATACAAGGCGTATAATTTCATAGAATCTTGGGGAAACTCGTGGCGCTACGCCCTTTCCTCACTGTTGGCTCCGCTTTCTCCGAGGGCGAGGGTTGCCGCCGCTTCGCCAGGGTGAGTCGGGACGCCGAGGGACGGCCGAGGGAAGACCAGTAGCTGGGATAGTCGAGGGTGCTGAACAGAGATAGACCATCCCACGGGACTATCGACTGCCGAGTCCCGAGAGGCAAGTCGATACTCCAGGGACACCTTTCTCCTCCTGCTGCTGCTACCGCACTCTCCTCCGACGTCTTCCACTTTGCTCTCCTTATTCAACCCCTTGGCGTCTTCCTTGCTCCTGTCCTTCTCCGGCTTAGCTCCTTCTCCTCGTCACCTCTTTCTCTACCCCTGCGTCCCCCTCTTCCTCTGGCATTCGGCTCCTAAACAGTCGACGCCTGCACGACGACTCCTCTCGCTCGGTCCAAATGCCTAAACCCATCTTACTTTTAACACTGCACCATTTTTTTTTCCTCAAAACCTCCCTTAAACTTGTTTTCAATCTACCCCGTGTGCACATTAGCATTCTGTCAGTGCTGCACGTTTCTCTCCGTGATTTATGAATCGGGACGATTCGAGGAATGTCAAAAATTTTTATGAGACGTTCGGTATTATTTTTCAACACGAGTGGAGGTGGTGACTGATAATTTTTGTGATAAAAAAAATAAAATCCAAAATTTACTATTTTCGAGGAACAGACTCGGTTGGGTGAAGGGTTCAGAATGGCACGTGGACACGTTTGGTAGATTGTGAGGAGGAAGTCAAGAGGGAAGGAAAACTAGTAAGAAAATATGTTGAGATGTTGAAGGGTAAGAGAACGAAGAGCAAGTATGAGGTGAGCGCCGCGACGGCGAAAGTCTAGCAAGCGGCGTCGACTTTAACACGCCGCCACTACTTAGCTCAATTTATCCAGACACCGCGCTTACTACTTATTAATCTACTCATCTCGCTCCGGAAGTGTCGAGAAGTTCCTTCACTGTTTACAACCAGCGTTTAATGTCAATGGCCAAACTTTCAACCCTTCGTCATCGTTCTAATGGTAACGACAATCCACCAATTTTCACCAGTTAACTGTACGCGCGAAAAATTGTAAATATTCAAATTTTATTTTGAATATTTAGGATTTTTTTTTTTCCCCCCCAAAAAAAAGACGAAGTAAATAATCGAAGCAGACTCGTACAAATTTCTTGAAATTATCTTCTTTTCACAAGGCATCTTGATCCTGCATCTTCTCTCTGGATTCTTCGGCTCCTCCATCAAGATTCAAGAGGCACTGACTGTCTTTACGTACTTCAAGACTATTTTCGAACATTCCGTAGATACGTGTTAGTTAGGTATGCGGGCTAAGTGTGGTAACCGTGTGCGGTCGGGTTGTCAGCACCGGTAAGTTATTTAGCGGTTGAGGCCAGAGCAGTTGGCAGCGCTGTCTAATTGTAACGACACCTTTGGGACCAGTATCCCATCCTCCAACCCTATTCCACCCCCTGGTCGCTGAAGCGCTCAGGTACTCAGCCTGGCTCAACCTCCCTACGCCACCCTTAAACACACGCACAGACACACACAGGATCCTCAGACGTTGTAAACCGAAAATACGACGACACTTCGTCGAAGCTGCGATAGACTTGCTTTTTGGTGAAACAAAAAGCCATAGAGTATACAGGACTTTCTTACCGAGAAAATAAGGTTGGAATCCTCGAGAGAAAAAAAATTACAATCCAGATTCCGGCAAAGGGAATCTGGTTGTCACGTCTATCAATCTGGCAAAGCCAATGACTTTTTTAAAAAGTGAATAAAAAATCGTCCCAACAAATTTTTCTTCTCGAATATAAGGGGATTGCAGGTGGGTTGGTACTAATGAGATCGTGGTCAGATCTTAAAGTTGTAATTGGCAATGGAATGTTTTCGGATTGGACCTCATAAGCGACATGGCGCAAGGTTGCTTTATTGGGGTTTCTGATATCGCGGCAGTAGTAGCAACATCGGTAGAAAGGCAGGCAAGCATTATCATCTGGTGAGGGTGAGGGTGAGAGAGGGCGAATGCCCTCCCCATGATATCACCATGGCAACCCCTGCACGGTCCGCCACGGCGTCGTGTCCTGCGTGCTTCCATGTCCTGCCAGTATGGCGACTGCTAACCTCGCAAGCTCCTCAACTAACAACAATAATACAAAATCCAAAGTAATCGAGCTTTCTATCCCTGTACCGCAATTTCTTTGTGCCGGTCGACAAATTCGAGAAATCTGCGTATCTACTTGTCGCTTGAAATATTCCCGAGAATTTCGATAAAATCAAAAAAGCACCATATCTACGTATCCCTATCGTAAGAATTCAAGCCCAAAAAAGAAGAAAGAAAAGCACGTAAAGCACACGCAACACCATGTGAAATTGGTGCGGACAGTTTGACGCTTTCCCAGTGAAAAAAGTTTGGACCGGCCAGCCAGCCATTTGGAGAATTCAGACCGAGTCGAGAAATCCATTCGTTCGGCCCTTCTTCAACGCGGCCATTGGCGCAGCAATGCGTCCCAATGGGGAAATTAAAAAAGTGGCCCGAGGGGAAAATTAAGGCATATTTTTTAATAAAGCAACGATAGCGATCGGGTCGACGCGTTGATGTTTTGTACAAAGGGTATTTCTTCCCTCTCGGTCACATTTTTCTTTTTTTTTTAATAAATTAATTACCAACGTTACAAATGACTACACGTAAAAATATGATTCGCAAGATATATTCAAATGAGACTGATCCTTGGTAGACACATGATTCCTGCTGATCGGGTTAGAGTTCCCGTCTGACTTCGGGCGAACGAAGTTGCCCGAAGTTTCTCGAACATTAGGAAAGCACGTCAGTCAGGCCTCTCGCTGAAAGCCGTGCAGTGAAAATAAAAAATGTAAAGCAGCAAGGTACACGATCTGCCAGACGTATTCGGTAGGTAGGACGTAAGGGTGTTCCCAAGCGTGCAGTCGAGGATTTTACCGAGTTTCGAACTCCTCAAAGCGATATCCTGGCGCAGGAGGTTGCGAGTTGTCTAAGCCAGTTAGCGACTTCGAAGTTTCCTCAAAGGAGTCGCGAATATTAAAATCACATTTTAGCCTCGTTTAACAAACTGCCGTAACGAGATTAGGTCGAATTAAGTAAACCCTTGTGTCAACGAACTTACGGCAGATCAGCATTAGCCGCTGATGCTTAATAAATTTACCCAAGGCGTTGGAAATTTTATTCGGCCTCTCTTTGAATTACCCGATCTTTTCACCCGCCGACCCCCCAACTCGCGAAACATCGCCAATCCTGCGCGAACTTTTCCTTCGGCCAACTCGCGAACTAATTCGAACCTAATCGACTAAAGAAATCTCCTATGTACGCTAATTCGAGCGTAATTTCTCTCAGGGGAAAAAACAAATAAAGTATGGGCAACAGGGGCGGAAGGAAAGGGAAGAGAAAATAGAAAAAAAAGGAGAAAGAAAAGCGAGAGGAAATAATAGTTTAAATATACCATTGAGCAAGCTTAAAGGTCCTGCTCCCTTTACACATGTGCTCGGCGGCACGTGTGACTGACTTATGAGCGTTTTTCTCAATGTTTGACAGTGCCAACTCGAGAGGATCCTCATCGTCCTCCCCGGGTGTCCCTAGGGAAACGGTATCTAAATGCAGGCATTAATAAATCGCACGTTATACCCACGCACAGTGAGAGCCACGCGATATACGTCCAGCCTCTAAGTTAGTTTACGTAACAGGGAGCATTCTGATGCATTTATGGAAATTAAACGAGCCTCGTCCGAATTGCCAGAGGCATCAAGATAACTTCGTTATTTCGCCATACACGCTGTCCCCTTACCCAGGGCTATAAAATCTACTGAAACCAAAAAAAATCTGGCACTACAGGTACTTTTAATAAAATCTTGTGAAAAAAGAAATAGAGAGGATCGAATCAGCTGTCGTTGAAATTCTCTCAGGCGTTCTCTCACGAAATTCTCTCACTTTAACGTTCCTACGAAGCTGAGGGATGCATTAGATAGTAATCGTGGTAAATCGTCAGTATATGCGCCCATGCAAAGCAAATGCAGTTACGGGAGGTGGCCTCTCAAGCCGTCTTGCGGCTAATGTGATAGACTGCCATTAGGGGTAGGTATCTACGTATCGGACTCCGGGTAGCTTCTAGAAGGGGTGGGAGCTTTCGTGGGGTAGCCAGAGAGCCGTGAGCCACGACAAGCATCCCCGTACGAGCTTTGCTACCTCGTAAGACGTATTACTTAGGTATGAATTATGTAGCGGATTGCTAGTGCCTCCACGGGACCGACCTGAATAGAACGGCTAGCTACACGCTACAAGCTACTCGTTTCTCTTAGACTCCAGTCAGGCAAATGGGTTCTCTCCTTTTCGCAAGAATTTAGTTAACTTGGCCCCCGGGCGCTTGGCTTCGTTTGCCTTCACTCGGCCCTGGTTATACGACTTTAACGTAATCCGTGCTTTCTATTGACGAAATACTCTGACTAATGGACCACCTGAGGTAATGCGAAAATTTCTTGCAGAAATTTACGCCAATGTACACGCTCGACGCCGTAAGGCGGATACGTCCACCGAAAACTGTACTTAATTTTCTCAAAATTAAGTAAAAGCTTTGACGATTATTCTCTTTGCGGGTTAAACAATTTATTCAACCCGTCGTACCGTGGACTTTGTATTTACGTAGGTCTGCGGACTTCACGAACAAGAGGATGTCAAACAACTGAGAAGATGCTGGCCTGACTCTGTACCACTGAACAATGTTATCTTACCCCGGTGTAATGTTAATTCTACAATTTTCCAACGAGGACCTGCGCTCTTTTACATATTTTTCCAAATTATTCGCGCTACTCGCTGCGCCCTGTTGACTTTAATGGAAATTGGACTCACCCTCGTTAGGTCCATAACGACAGAAGATCTGATCCTTGAGTCTATATCCAGGTTACCAGGTCTCCATGAGGACATAGTTTCCCTGAAAAAAAGTAACAGCAATGATTATTCATACCGAAACACTTAAATCATATAAAAAAAGAGGAAAACCGTATGAAAACAATCTCAAAGAACGACGAAGTCGTCCAAGTCCAGGAGAAGCTCCACTAGGTGGCTCTATAGTATATACACTAAGGATCTTCCTTAAGTTATCCTTGCATATACCTTACCTATAAGACTTCCTGGGTGGATCCGAAGAGAGCCAACTCGTAAGGGATGGTAGATGACGAGGTAGGTACAGGGGGCGTAATGGAGGCTGGTTAAACATTAAGCATCCCTTGATACCTTGCTAACCCCTTGCTAACCCCAGTTAAGGTGTATGCAAGGCATACAGCTCTAGGTGGTTCCCTGTACCGCGTCGACCTCCGTACACATTCTTATTAATTGACGTCTTAGGCATCTGCATTATGCATCTGGGACAGGATTACTCTCGGGCGTTTCCTGGCTTCCTCGAATTCCCCGTTAGAAGCCCGTGGGCCTCCACGAAAATATCATTAATATCGGCTGCCATCGATTTTACCGGTAAACGAGTCTAGACCCATTATCACCACTCTAGAAAATATATCCATGTAAAATCTTATCACAGCTCATATACATATATCTATATATATACCTACTATGCGCATCAAGGGGTCCAGTATTAACCCACGGGGAACCTCCTTTGCAAACAGTGGAAATCTCTCGATCGGTATTGACAGTCAGTACGTGATGGTATCAGGATTACACGCCCATTCCGAGTGATAATGAAGATCTCCCTGAAGAATACTCCTGTGCTAATGTCTATGGTCAATAGGACTCGCTGGCAGGTTGGCTCGTATTAATAGGTGATTAGCACACTTCATCGGAAACGCCCACTGGACTGCAAGGTCGGCAGAACCTTCGAAATCCCGTACCTAGACCAAAATGCAAGATTTATAGTGTCAAATTAATCCCTGGCGTTTAAGGATTTTCAAAAGGGTCCATTCGGCTGATACCGAGCAGGACCTAATGATCCTGGATATTGATGATGGTCAAGATAGAAGTGGCTGACTAGGTCTTTTATACTGAAATTATCTTGACCATCCCCATATCCCTCTTCTGTAAAGCTGATGTTCTTAAAATCTGTTTTTTTTTTCTCTCTCTCTTTATCGTACCCTTAGTTCTTCTCTGTCTTGGCAAGGGGTGCAGGAGAGACTCACTGAAAACATGATTAAAGATTCTCCCACCTTGGAGAAAATGGATTTCTGATACGGGTAATGCCATCCTATTTGGAACTATTACGCGTAAGTCCCCAAGTAAGCCTCCTATATCCATTCACCCCTGCTGGAAATTTATTTACTAGACCAGAAGGTACTTACTTCCTGTCTTGGAGGGTTGGATGTGTATAGGATGACGAGTACGTAGTCGCTTGTGCGTATAGGTACGGGGGGGGTGGAGGGGGGGAAGTGATTTTTATTTTTCAAAGCACCACGATGCACTTGTTTTCAGAAATTGATCTACTGACTTTTCAATTTTTCTTTTTCTTTTTTCCTCTTTTAATAATACTTGTATTCCGATAACTAGGGACATATCGATTTGTTTCGTCAAAGCAACGTTGTTCTGTCCGCTAATGAATTGACAGGGAATAAAATATACACAATGGCTCTCGATTGCGAAATCACCCTCCCCCCTCCCCCTCGCCCTCCCGCCCCCCAC